GTCGCAGGCACAGATGCTAAAGAAGCATATAAGGAGCCTTCATATATTTATTTTTTGTCTACTTGCTGGGGAGAAGTGGGCTGCGAAAGAGGAGAAACTGGGAAAGAAGGTGAGGCAGGTTCTGAAGTGCGACATGACCAAAGCCAACCCTGCGGACCCCGTGTCCCTGCCTCTTGCTGACTGCCTCCTCTCCACCCTCCACTTGGAGGCCGCCTGCAAGGACCTGGCCACCTTCCGCAGAGGCCTGAGAAATGTCAGTGCCCTTGTGAAGCCGCGGGGCACCTGGTGATGGTGACCGTCCTCCAGGAAACCTACTATGCCTTCAAAAAGCAGGTTTTCTCGTGCCTCTGCCTGGAGAGAAACGTGGTGGAAGCAGCTGTGGAGGGCACTGGCTTTGACGTGAAGTTCAGCAAGGTCCAGTCATACCTGCCCGACAATGTCCACGCAGACCGTGAAGCCCCATTGAGCCTCGTGGCAGGCAGGTGTGCCTCCATCACCGGATAGCACATGGGCACTGGGGAGGAAAACAGCAGCAAGTCTGGTTTCAAAAAGCCCTGCTGACGTAACCCACAGCCTCTTAGCCCTTTATTTGAAAGCAAATCAACACAGTGCACACAGCACCAGCCCTTGAAGCCCCAGCTGCACACCAGCAGCCCAGGGTCGGGGTAACCCCGCCAGCTTGCCCCAGCCCAGAAACAGGAATTGCACCCAAGCCCCTTCCCTCCTATCCTCCCACACTGGAGCAGAGCTTCTGAGAAGCTTCCCTCTTCCAGCCACGATGCCCTTTTTTTGAGGCCAAAATCCATTCTTATGGGGAAAAGTTTGGCTGCAAAGGCAGTGAGATTGTTCAAACCTAGATCTGTTTCTGATTTCTGTGCAAACCCTGCGTGCTCTGTCTGAAAAGTGCAGGGGCTTGGGGGGGAAGAAAAGGATGCTGTCAAGGGGAGCAGCATGCCTTGCACCCAGACGATCTGCAGCACTCCCAGAACCAAGAGCACCTGCTGATCTTTTCAGTAAACCTGTAAAAATTGTTCAACAAAATGCTGCCACCCCAGCAATACGTACCTGCCGGGTGCCAGCACGCACACAGGAACAGGGCAGAAAGGGTTGACAGATGGAAATGATGCTCTCCCCAAAGCAACCTCCCCTGGTTCGCAGCACCCCTGGCCATACTCAGTTGTTCTCCCATGCTTACAGCCAGCCAGACCTGCGACACACCAGAGATTCGTTTTAGAGATACTCAAGCCTAAACATTTTTAATAATAATATCAGCACACTCAGCATGCCTCAGTTCTCAGCAGTTTTTTTAGAAGAAATATTTGGGATTTGTTGCTGAAGCTTCTCCTCCCCTCTCTCATACTGATCTTCTTTTAGGGTAGTTTTGGTTCAAGAGTGAGAAGAAATAGGGACATACAAAATTTTCTTGCTGAATATACACAGATCAAGTCCTGTCACAAATCTTACTGCTTCTGACAGAAGAGGCTGGCATAAAGTAAGAGGGAGAGCGAGTGATAAAGCCCAGGAGGGAGATGAAAGGTTGAAAGAAGTCACGGTCCCCAAGTACCACATAAACTCCACAGCACCCAGCAAGCCCAGGTAGGCACCAGAGGGGTTCAGCCTCCTCTCTGTCCAGCCGCCTTTTAGTTTCTTGGTATGAACCCAGTAAAAAAGCCCAACCCACTAAAGTCTTTAGGGCTGTAGGGTAATGTCGGCACCAGTTACAGACTTACTAAGGTCATTAGATGTAATTGTATGCGACCCCCGAAGTGTAGACTGGAGATGCCACATCAGCGAGACGAGGATCAGGTCGGTGATACCGCCAGCTCGGGCTCTGCTTGGCAGGACTGTCCCCAGAGCCACTGGGACGCCCTGTGCAAGTAGTGCAGGTTTTTGGCACTGCCACAAGTGCCTGGAATGGCCTCATTGCCCAGCTCCACGAAAGGGAGCTGAAAACCAGAGGATGCTCAGAGGCAGATCAGGACCTCTGATGCTCGCTACTTAACGCCAAATGTAAGGCCACCGTTTCCATAAAGACCTCCATGCCTGCCAGCGCAGCGCAGTAAAGGCAGGAATGCAGCAGCTGCTGACATGTTCTCTGGAAATAACATGCCCAGGTCTTGTAGCGCTGGCGTCTTTAATCGCTGTTTAACTGTTCGAACATCGGCATCGCTGGGGATTTTTATGGTCTGTTTAAAAAGCACAATGATTCCCTTCATGGAGACGTTTGTAGCTACAATTACCCTTCTGTCGCAACCTGCCAGGAGTCATTGAAAGCCTTTCCCAGCTAAGAGGCCAGGCGGTATTCCGCCTGCCGCTTGCTGACAGCAATCATGGTGGCACCTAAGGAAGCAAGGTGGGCACAGGCCGGACTGATGCCGGGAAGACGCTGACCTGGGCGATGACTGGCTCAGCTCTCCCCTCGCCTGTGCAAGCTTTGGGAACAGGAGGACGCAGCCTACACGACAGAGAGGGTGTAAAAAGATGGCAGCCTGCCTTCCCGGACCCTGCCTTTCCTTCCTCACCTCGCCCTCCTCCTCTCATAGGGGGTGACTTGCCCCCACTCACCCCATGCCTGAACATACAGCCAAAGCAGCGAATCAAAACCAGCGACTGAAGCTCAGTTCATTCGGCAGTAACCGCAGCTGCTATCTTTGTCAGCTCATCTCCCTCTCCGTACAGCTGTCAATCAGCCCCCGGATGTTCGACGGCCATAATGAAAATGGCATGTGGGGATCAGCAGTGCTGTTTTTGCATTAGCTGGCAGGACCCCTCCTTCCAGGCTCTCGGGAGAAAGGACCATCATTTGCAACGGCTTTGTCTGACAGATCTTGCTATCGTGGGGTGTAATTATGGGTACCCGCTTTCTGGCTGCAGGGAATTTTCAAGCATCCGCTTTTGATCAAGTGGTCCCATCACCACAGTGCCTTCAGCGGCTCGGAGAAGCCAGGGAGGTGGCCAAGCCACCCGAGGAGTGGGAGAGCAGTCAGGTGAGAGGGAAGGCGCAGCTGATGCCTGCAATCGGTGCTGGGGACAGAGGCTGCATGGCAGGCACGCGATGGGCAAGATGACCGAGTGGCCGCTGGGCTCCTGCACCGCACAGGAGAGCTGAGCCAGAGCCCCGAGCTGGGAGATGTGGGGAATCTACAGCTTAAGGGCAGTAACCCAGAAGGCAGGCCAAGAAAGAGGTGCAAGGCACAAGCGCAAGCAATGATCTGAGGAGGACTAGTCGCTTGTTTTGTCTCCGGCATGGAACTGGTCGAAGCTCTCGCAATATTTAAGAGCACCTGCGTATTAAGAGTGAAAATAGGCAGCCGAAGAACGCATTTTGCCCTCCCAAAGCAAAAAAGCTTTCTGGTTTTCCATTTTGCTTCTTTGAAGAGCAGAAAGGGCATAAAATAGTAACACAAAAAGGGAAAAAAGCACAACAGAATTACAAGAGCATGCCTGTGAAAAACCTGAAATAGTTCTCCGTTCTCTCATTGCTCATTTTTTCAGGTCTGGGCTGCGCGAGGCTGCGATGGGCAGCGCCTGAGCCCGTCGGCACCTCATGTGGGTCTCTGAACGTGGCTGCCTATGGCCCACTGTGCAGGGCCACAGTGCTTGCTGGAAGTTGCCTGGCACACGGGGGGCAAGCTGACGGCGGTGCGAACGCTACACACACTTCCAGCCAAGCCCAAGGGGACCCAGAGAGGAAAAAAAAGAAAAAGCATAGGGAAGTAAACGAGGCTCCAGGGAAATTAAGGCAAAGTGGAAGTCCTGGCACAGCGAGGTAATAATTTCCTTTCTGAATGAGTAACTGTTTAGAATGTAACCAGGCGAACACGATTAAACCAAATGAATATAAATTCTAGGTGCGGTAGCAAGTAATGAAGTGAAGAAAATGAACAGCGCCTAATTAACAAGAAAATAGGATCTGCCATAACGCGTTGGAATCTAATGAAAAATGAAGGCTCGACTTCCCCTTTCAAAATTTTCCCAGATGGAAAATACCCCTGTGCTACATCCAGCAACTTCTGAAATAGCCACGCGATTACAGTCGCTGGGAAGAACTGTCCTGGACCAAGCGCCAGGGGCAGGGGAGCTGTTTTGCAAAATACTTGCAGAAGTGAAGGAGCTGGGAGATGACTGTCCAGTGCTCTGCCCAAACACGAACCCAAGAGCAGCCCCTTCACCTAACAGTCTAACGGAGGAGGGCCAAGCTGCCCTCCCCAGTTAGTGTGGCTGCAGGAGGCAGCCCTCCGGACAGAGGCGGCCATCGCAGTATGGCGGCAATAAAACCAGGCGGCGGCACAAAATACACCGTTCTCTTGCCGGCTTCACCTAGGCTTCTTCTCCCACTGTTACTTTGATGATGCAAAGTGAGGTCCACGCTCCATTCCGGAGGCCTGGCATCAGCGCAGCTAAGTGTACTCGCGGCGGGAGGGTGTCTGGCCCTACGGGGCGCGGCTGGGCTCCCCAAGTATCAACTCATAAGAGAGAAAAGGGTTAGGAGCCCGCAGCGACGACGTCCCCAGCTTTCCGCCGCAAGCCTCCGGGAACCGACAGCCTTTGCAGGCTTCCCTACCTGCAAACAACTAACTTGGGGGTTTTGAAATCTCTGTCACCGTTTTGGAAAAGTCACCTTTGACCAGAACGGCCACTCGGCTGAGGCTGGGGCAGCCACGCCTGCTGCAGCGAACAACTCTGGTCCGATACGCAGGGCTGACGGTAAGTTATGACTTCAGCACCGAGGGCCTGGAGGGAACGGGCCAGCGCCCCGCCGCAGGCACCGGGCCCACCGAGCCCGCAGCTGCCCGCCGCTTCGCTCGAGAGACGGGCGGGCCGGTTCCCCGGCCCCGGTCTCTCCCCACCCCCCGTCTCCCGCCGCCGAACACCGGCTCC